TGAAGCAGTGATCAAAAACCTCCCAAAAAACAAGAGCCCAGGACATGATGGATTTCCTGGGGAATTCTACCAAACTTTCAAAGAAAAAATAACACCTATTCTAGTACGGTCCATGTTGCTACAAAAGTTGGGTATTCATCCTTTCTGATGGAGGCATAATATTCCACGGCGCTGTCCCTGACTGGTCCCCCATATTCCCTCACCACTGCCAAGTACTCTATGGCCCCGAAGTCGGCTGAGCACCAGAACCGTGCCTATCCTGGGAAGCAAGGCTCAGGGTGCAAGGCCAGGCGGGTTGGACATCTGAGGATGCAAAGGTCATCGAGTACCCCCCACCCAGCTGGCCTGGAATTCAGAATCCCTCCCAGGGTCCCGCTCAATGCGGGCTTGAGCCAGAGGACTTGGAGACATCCGTGGAGGCCAAATCAGGGCAGGGAGATCAGTGGGCCCCTTCAACTTCTCTCTCCCTCTGCTTGGTCTTCCTGGTAGTTCCCTGGGACAGAGGTCCAGCCTGTCCTCGGATTTAGCCCTGGCTTGAGTCAGTGGGTGGGAAGGAGGACAGGGAAGGTTAGGGTTTGAGTTAGGGGTTTGGGTTAGGGTGAGGGTCACAGTTAGGGTCAGGGTCAGGGTCAGGGTCAGGGTTAGGGTAAGAGTTACGGTTAGGGTCAGGTTGGGGTCAAGGTCAGGGTCAGGGTCAGGGCCAGGGTTAGGGTTAGGATCAGGGTTAGGTATAGGGTCAGGGGTAGGGTCAAGGTCAGGGTTAAGGTCAGGGCCAGGGTTAGCTTTAGGGTCAGGGTCAGGGTTTGGTTTAGGGTCAAGGTTAGGGTCAGGGTCAGGGTTAGGTTAGGGTTAGGGTTAGGGTCAAGGTCAGGGTAAGGGTAAGGGTTAGTGTTGGGGGTAAGGATTAGTGTTAGAGTTAGGGTTAGGGTTAGGGTTAGACAGAGTTAGGGTTACGTTTAGGGTTAAGGTTAGGGTCAGGCTCACAGTCAGGGTCAGGGCTAGATTTAGGGTCTGGATCCGTGTTAGGGTCAGGGTTAGGATTACGTTTAGGGTAGGGTTAGGGTCAGGCTCATAGTCAGGGTTAGGTTTAGGTTTATGGTCAGGGTCGTGGTCAGTGTTAGGGTCAGAGTTAGGGTCAGTGTCAGGGTTAGGGTTAGAGTTAGGGTCAGGGTTAGGGTCTGGGTCAGGGTCAGAGTCAGGGCCAGGGTTAGGGTCAGGGTCCTTGTTAGGGTCAGGGTCAGGGTTACGTTTAGGGTTAGGGTTAGAGTCAGGGTCAGTGTTAGGGTCAGGGTTAGTGTCAGGGTCAGGGTCAGTGTTAGGGTCAGCGTAGGGTCAGGGTCAGGTTCAGGATTAGGGTTAGGGTTAGGGTCAGGATCACAGTCATGGTTACGGTCAGGGTTAAGGTTAGGGTCAGGGTTAGGGTTAGGGTTAGGGTTAGGGTTAGGGTCAGGGT